ATTACCTTGTAATTAAGGTATCTAATTTATGACCCACTTTCCTAAAAGAAAAGAAAAAATCCAATTTTTTCCTAACTCAATTTTTACAAAATTTACCACATGGGTTTGAAGTGACTCATATACATAACACTACTTAAATTTTAAAATAAAATTTTGAAATGAAACTATAAAATCAATTTGAATATAATCCAACGAGTTAAAAGTAATAATAAGTTAAATATAAAAAATAAATAACAATTTATAGGACTTGAGGAGTCTCTTGACAGCTAGCAGTTTAATGAGGGTGGGACAGTCCCCTATTTTATGGTCATTTCATTTCAGGTTCCTGATATTTATGAGATAAGGATTACACATCCATTTAATGATCTTCCACAACTTGGCTTTTATTTAAAAAAAAAAGAAATTATAAAAAAGACCCATAAAATTAAAAAGTCAAAACAAATCTATTGAATTTTTTTGCAAAGTTTCATTTTCATCAAATCATGTGATAGGGATAATCATATTTATTTTCTCCCTTGGCTTTAAATTCCATAAAATTTGGACTAGAATTACAACCAATAATTTTAAATAAAAGAGAGAAAATATGATGAAAGTGAAAATATTTCTATATTGGGTTAAAATTTTAAAGCAACTCAAATTCACACACCTTATGTACTATAATATAATACTCTTAGACCCAATTAATTTTTTTTCCTAAAATGAAGGGTATTTGAGAAGAAAGGGCTTTGATATTTTAAAATATTTTAATTTATTTTTTATTTGTATAAATAGGGTGGTTGTGAAAGAAACCCCAAAAGTTTCCCATGGATAGTGGATGCTGCCATAAAGGCAAAAAAAGACCCATAACATGGACACAATATCCACTAATTTACTCACCAGGGGAAAAAAACCAAAATAAATAAATATATAAATAAATAAAAACAAAAGCATTAATGACACGTGGATGGGAGAGAGACCATTCTAGTCTACAATAAGAATTTTTCTGACCTAAAAACTCAGGAGAGAGAGTTTTTAAAGAGAAAAATATTTCACCACCACCGCCACTTCTAAAGTATTAAAATCAAGAAGTGGATATAAAATAATAATAATAATAATAATAATATCTCCCTCTTAATAAAAATTTGATTTAAAAAGAGATATATATATTTTGTCTTTTAAGTTTCACAGGTGTATTCGAATAATGCATTTTCTGTTTCTGATTGGTTCTTCTCAAGCACCCAACTCCTAATATCAATATCTCAGATGTTTTTTTTTTTAATTTAATCTTTTCATGTTGTCAAAAGAGTTTAACAATGGCATTTTGTGTTGTAAATTAGACGATAGACTTTTAAAATGGCAGGAAGAAAAGGAAAAGAAAATATATTTAATGGAATTTAGTCAAAATCCACACTTCATTAATTATCACTCACCACTTCAATTCCTTTTTGGCTCAATATTTCTAAGCAACTAATCATGAACATTAATGAAGAAGAAAAAGAAAAAAAAAAGAAAAAGTTCATATTCAAAATTACCCTTGATTCTATGGGAGTTTTAAAAACTAGTTCAAGGTCAAACAAATGACAAAAGAAATGAGAGAATTTTCCATTTTTTAAGTTACGTCAAACAAAGTTAAGGCCATATAAAATGGAGAGTTGTAATCCCATCCAACAAATTGTACTAAAGAGAGTGAAAAATCAATACTAATTTACTAGTCAAAATTATTGAATAAAATTAATTCTACCGTTAAACTTAGTTGAGGTAAGTTAAAAGTTGATAGATTAGTTGAGGTCAAGTTAAAAATGGATAGATTACGGTAAATTTAAATGGGCGTACCGTTGGCGAGATCGAGGAGGAAATCAGCAGGGTTCATAGGAAAAGAGGGGGTGAATCCAATGGACTCAAAATAGCTCATTGCTTCACTTCCTTTGCCATAATACAAACACCTTCCTTCCGATAAAAGCAGCACCGAGTCGAAGGTCTGGTATACCCGGCTCGACGGCTGGTGGATTGAGGTCACGATGGTCTTGCCCTTGTGGGCCAGCCCCGCCATGGTGCTCACCAGCCGGTGCGCCGCGGTCGAGTCCAACCCCGACGTCGGCTCGTCCAGGATCAGCAGGCTCGGGTTTATGAGCATCTCGTGGGCGATGCTGACCCGCTTCCGTTCCCCGCCTGACACGCCGCGGATGAACGCGTTGCCGATGATTGTGTCCTGGCATTTGCCGAGACCGAGCTCGGCGATCACGGACTCGGCCACGGCGATCTTCTCTTGCTTTGACAACGACAACGGCAGGCGGAGGAGGGAGCAGAATATGAGCGTCTCTCTCACGGTTAAGTGAGGGTAAAGAACATCATCCTGCGTCACGAATCCGGTCCGCCGGAGTACCGGTCTGGTCAGTTTCCTACCATTTGCCAGGACTGAACCTGTCAGACCGTTCCCCTGACAACGACATAAGAGATCAATCAATCAATATTTTTATTAATAGAACTTACGGTTAGATTTCTATATTTCCATTGATATTTTCATTGATATTGATATTTAATCTTACTTGTAACCTTCCGGCCAAAAATCTTACTTGTAACCTTCCGGCCAGCGCATTGAGGAGGGTCGACTTGCCACTCCCCGATGGCCCAAGAATGGCCAGAATCTCTCCCGGAGACACCATCCCGGTGATCCCATGTAAAATATTCCGTTCCTGGACGGCTGGGGCCGATGTCTCACCGGCCCCGCACCCGAAAACCCGTCCCATAGTGTTTCCATTTTTATCAGCCATCTTCACCCGATAACTCACGTCTACAAACTGCAACACGAGAACCATCCAACAACTCAATCCAATTTAGAGATTAAAAAGTTAAGATTTTTTAAACCCAAATTTGCTTCCAATTAGTTACCTTAAGAGTAAGGGGAAGAGAAGGAGAAGAGACATCGTTAGAGGCAGGCATTGCTGAGCTGCTTCTGGCAAAAGCACTTTTTGGGATTTTGGGGTTTGAATTTGAAACTCTCTCTCTAGAAAGCAGAGAGAAAAGGGTAAGAAATGGAATTAATAGAAGAAACAAATGATGAGTTTAGAGAGAGAGAGAGCGAGGGTATGAAGAGGAGAAGGAGAAGGCGTAAAGAAGCGAGGGTATTTAATGGGGGAAAGGAGCATCTCAGTGGATGACACGTCAAAATTGAGAGGCCACAGGAGTGGAGTGGCGTGGCACCTCCATGGCTAAAGCCAACACTATTTTTGTAGCTTCCCACCACTGAGTTTGTATAGCTGCGAGTGGTGTTTTGGACCCGAGTTTAACTACTTCCAATTACTTAAAAATAATGAAAGGAATAATATTTAGGTATTTATCGATTAAGATATTTAGGAAATTATTTTAAAAAATTAATGGCGTAGATTGGAAGAAATAGATTTAAGATATACAAAATTTTATGAGCAAAATTGAAAAATCGATCCGTATTTTAAGCCAAATTTATATTGCAACGCTTCTTTGAAATTTAATATTTTTTCTCTCTTAAATTTATTAGGAAAAAACAGTGCGAGGAAGTGAATTTGAGAGCGAAAGAAGTGAATTTGGGAGAAAGCTTGGATTTTAAGAAAAACTGTGTGATGAATTTGAGAGAAATAGATTGAAAAATAGTTAGGTAGCATTTATCTATTGCTGGTCACCGTTGAAAAATTGAAGATTTATTATTTTTTCAAATATTATTTAATGATGATGATTATAAGATAAGCTGCTCACTAGTAAACATCCAAGTATTTGGAAGAAATAGATTTGAGATATGCTATTTGAAAATTTTATCTGCAGATCTGAAAAATTGATGGGATGGACATAAATTTGTATCTTAAGCTAAACTCTGATTGCAACGCTTATTTGAATCTTAAATTTTTTCTCTCTTAATTTAGAAAAACAGCGTGAAAAAAGTGAATTTGGGAGAAATAGATAGTCTGAATTTAGAAAAACGACATAAAGAAGTGAATTCAGGAGAAATAGAAAGTATGAGTTCAGAAAAACGATATAAATTCAAAGTGAATTTTGGAGCAATACAAAATCAATGTTAAAAAGTACTTTTGGAGAAATAGATTGGAAAAATACTTAGATAGTAACTCGTGAATCGTGAGCACCTATACCTCCATTCGGACCACCATTGAAAAATTAATAACTTATTATTTTCTAAAATATTTTTACATTTCTCTTCCTTATTCCTCCTAAGATTTAACCATGATAAGTATGATAAGTATAAGATAGGTGTTTACTCATCTATACTTGAGTATTTTTCAAATAGATTATAATTTAAATACAGAATTGACATATCAATATTGGATAGTCGTAAGTTGGATATCTTAAGCCAAATTTAGTTTGCAACCCTTCTTTGAAATTTAAAATTTCTCTCTCTAAATTTTTTCTCTCTCCTCTCCATATTGATGTCATTTTTGGTGATTCTGTTTCCAACTTTTGCCTGAGAGAGAGAGAGAGAGAGAGAGAGAGAGAGAGAGAGAGAGAGAGAGAGAGAGAGAGAG